TTTTTTCTTTTTTAATTTTTGGTGTTAATTTTATATGTCTTGCTAAAAGCCCAACTAAAGCTAGGGGATATACACTTTCAATGAAGCACAATATTTTTTTATTCAATTTCTTTTTAATACATGATTTATTCTTTTGATTTAATTCTTGTCTTTTAGTAAAATTTTTGTTTTGTGTAATTTCTTAATTCGTTTGTGTCATGCACATCAAATGCTTGAGATTCTTGTGAGTCAAATAACTGGTTATTCTATGCTTGAATTAATTAATAGAATTTCTCATAAGATAGTTGATTTATTATTTTACCCTTGAAAAGCTTGATTTATCGTAGACTTCGAGTACGGTGAATACTTGTGATCTACAAGTAAATTTTTATATTAACTCAGATAATTTATTAATTATACCTTTGTTGTTTCCATATTATCATCGCTAAATATTCCAATTGGAAGCATTCCTCAGCTGATTCTCAATTGAGTTCAAAAATTGGATCATTAATAATTGAAGTGTGGATTTGAAATGGTATTCCCGATGCTTAAGTATTTCAATTTTTTTATTTTTAATCAAACAACTTTTATTCATTTGAACAAACAAAATTTCTCCAAATGATTTTCAAAACAAGTTTTCTTATTTTTTTCTTGCGTTTTAAGTTTTTTCAATTTTCTTGATTCGACCTCGAACTTTCAAGTATTATATTATTTCACGATAATCTGTACTTTGGCGATCAATTCTAAAGTTATAGCATAGAGTGATAATGAGTAATTAACTATTACTACTATCCTTAATAGGAAATGCAATCAAACAAGTTTTATGTTTTCATTTTTTACCAAAAAAAACCAAAATTGTTCTAATTTTATTTGTCTTTTTGAAAACTAAAAATAATAAATGTTTCAAACGACACCTCTAGTGCATTTATGCAATTTCAATTGAAAATTCAGAAACTTGTCATCAACTAATGAAAATAGATAGACATAAATAAAAGTAAATTTAATTATTTTAATAATTAATTTTTGTCTTTAAAAGAAATGATATGAAAGGCTTGGATACGTGTAATATTAATGAAGTTTTATTAATATGAATCCATATTAATAAAGTTAGTATTGTGAGAGTAAAGTTATCCAATTAAAAGTTTAACATCAATCAAATCTTATTAATATGAGGTCTAAATTATATAAGACTAGTATTGTCGTTATATATTGTTTTAGGGTTAAAGTAGTCAATTAAATTTTTTTTTGATAGTATACTTTTATTAGTAGCATAGATATAGATATAGATAAAGGAGACATACAAAGTTGAACAAACAATTGAGGTATTAAACTAATGTGTTATACAATAAAATTTTGGGAAAGGGCGATCAAGCAAAGATTAAGGTTTCAATCAATAGTTTTTGAAAATCAATTTAGATTTATGCCTAGAACATCAACAATGGAAACACAATATATATATACTTTGGAGACTACTCAAGAGGTATAGAGAGAAAAATGAGAACTTCATATGATTTTTATAGACTTAGAAAAGGCACGTAATAAAGTTCTTAGAAAGGTATTATGAAGTGTTGAACAACGGCGGGGAAACTAATAAATTGTCAATTACTATAGGTTTAAATCAAAAGTTCTACTTTAAATTCATATTTTTCTTTTTTTTGGTGATGGATGAATTGACTAAGTACATTCAAGATAAGCTCCTATGGTGTATGTTATTTGTGGATGATATTGTGCTAGTAAAAAAAATAGTAATAAACTAGAAACTAAACTAGTAAAAAAAAATAGTAATAAACTAGAAATTCACGAGAAGGTATAGAATCAAAAGGATTTAGGATAAGTATGACTAAACCTGAGTACATAGAATATACTTTTAGTAAAGAAAAAATCGAAACCAAGAATTAGTAAAAGTTAAAGATCAATAGATACCAAAATATGAACACTTTAAATATTTAGGGTCTATTATTCACAGAGTGTGATATTGATAATAACTTATACATAGAATTAATGTAAGATGGATTAAATGGTGAAATGTATCTGATATATTGTGTGGTAGACGTATACCCCTTAAACTAAAAGTAAAATTCTATATAATGACCATATGCATTTATGCTATTGAGTGATGGACAACTATATGAGATAAGTTACCACACGAAAACGTTCAAAAATTATGTGTGACAAAAATGAGAATGTTAATATGAATGTGCCGTAAAATTTGGAGCTAATATATACATGAAATAGTAAAAATAACACATATAGAAGATAAGTTAGGGAAGAATTGATTTAGATGGTTTGGATATATTTATTAATAGTCTACTACGACACCGATGAAAAAGAAGGATATAATAGTCATTGATAGTAAACATAGGGGTAAATAAAGACCAAAATTAACTTTAAATAAAATAATAAAGAAAGATATGACAACATATGATTTACCTGAAAAAATTGTCCTTGATAGAGCTTAATGGCAAAAAAAATTTATGTAATCGACCTAAGAAACATTAGGACAAAAACTTTATTGAGTTGAGTTGACTTGAAAAGATTCTTCTATTCCTATAAACGGTGAGTTATTCTTCTTTTTATTTTTTGGAAAATTATACCAAAATTTTATGTGGTTTGTCATTTAATCACTTAAATTCTTTGATATTTAAAATATTACATACAGACTTCTTTAGACCCCTTAAATTTAAAATATTATATTTAAACTAAAAATACTCCAATTAAAGATATAATATCAAATATTTTAAATTTTACAATCAAAATTCATGTTCTATTTTGTCATTTATTGAAACAAATCAAGAATAAAAATCTATGCGTTGATGCCAAAATTTGGATGACGTCCATGTCCATTTGTTATACTTTGATCACATGAAAAAGAATTTTTCGATGCCTAAATCAGCAAGTAACTCAAATATATAAATTGCACTTAGAACTTAAGAGTGACATACCTAGAGCATATTAGACTAACTGAACTTTTCAAGTTAGATCAATTTTTCCATTATCTAGTACAATATATAAAATAAGTCTAATCAACAATTTTTTTTCTATTATATCATCTATTGATATAAAACTAAAATAAAATTTTAATTTTTTTTAGAAAAAAATAGTAATCAATATAAATATATCAAATAACTCAATTAAACGCTCATTTGCATACAATTATACCGTCTATTGAAAAAAAACTAAAAAGCCAAATAAGCAGTCAAACAATAATAAATACAATATCTTCTATCTTAATCGAGTTAATTTGGTCATTTAATAGATTTTATTAGTTTTATAACTAATAAGAGATTTAAATGTAATATTTCACATTTAAGAGGTCTAAGTTTTATATGTCTATAAATTTGAAAGAGTCTGAGTATAATTAACTGATGGATATAATAGTGAACATTGAAGGCATGATCTAAGTATCACAATTGTACAAAATTTAGGAGGTTTGTATGTAAATTTCAAATATTAAAAGATCTAAGTGATTAAGTGATAAATCTTAAGAGATTTGAGACTAATTTTCTATCTCTTTTTTTCGTTTTGTTGTGTTCACAAGATCATAAAATATGTGCCATTATCGTAATAAGGAGTTAAGAGGAAGGGCAAAACTGCGAGTGACGTGTCCACTGGTGCACTCTCCATATATAAGCTACTAAAACGACGACGACGAAGAAAAACCAGTGTTTCCCCAAGTCAAGGCCATACCTCAGAGAGTAAACATGGCGGAGTCGAAGATGGTACATTCCCCATTGGTTACATTCGTATCAATGCTCTCACTTCTAACGCTCTGCCCTCCTTTCGTTATTCTACTGTAAGTCCTTGATAACTTCATTCGCCTTTAGCATCAGTAATCTCCAGATCTAATGGACTTTCACTGCAATTTTTTCCTAGATTCGAAGTATCACCAATTTTTGTTTGATATATAGTGTTTGAAGTGTACTTTTGTCACCTAGAAAATGCAAATTAAGTTTGCTTTACCCTTCGTGTAGCTTTTTTCTACCTCACAATTCAATTCACAAACGTATAGTTGGATCACAGCAAGTACTGTTGCAAAAAGTCAAGTTGTTGAAATGAGCGATTATCTAATTAAAAGATGTTTCTCTTTGAACTGGGGGGTATTAAGCATGCTGACCGTAATTCAATGGGGCTGCATAGTGTAAGTCTAGCTAAGTTATTGAATCTGAGCAGCATGGGAGGAAATGGATACAATACTGGAGGGATACCTTACAAATTTGATATAATAGCTAAATTGTGTCTGTGCTTTATTGAGGTCAAGGGACCAAGGAGATTCATTTATTTGTAATTCTTGCTATTTTATCAAAATTTGAAATCTTTGCTATTCTTTGGCACTAAATCATAATTTGCTACAATTATATGCAGATGGTATACGATGGTCCATGCTGATGGGTCTATATTGGAGACATGTAATTATCTAAGGCAGCATGGGCTACAGGGATTTATTGATATTTGGCCAAAACCCACTGCAATTGCATGGAAAATAATTTTCTGTTATGGAGCATTCGAGGCTGCCCTTCAGCTTTTGTTACCAGGCAAAAGGGTTGAAGGACCAATATCTCCTTCAGGAAATAGGCCTGTCTACAAGGTACCACATATTCAACACTTGCGCTGCAGAATTCTTTCTTATTATCTCAGAAAAAGAAAGAGAACCTAGAGACTAATAGTTATTAAAAACAAGTACAATTAGCTGCTATAAAATTAACTTGTTGGGTTTGACGCTCTTTGCTTGTTGCAGGCAAATGGTTTGGCAGCATATATGGTAACATTAATCACATATCTTGGTCTTTGGTGGTAATGACTTTCTTCATCAAATCTGTTTATTAAGGCCTGCCTATGTGCTTTAGGCCACCTAAGAATTGTGGCTTAGAGGGCTCCAAATTCTATGTATCATTGTTTCAGTTGCTACTATGAGCACTTCTATTAGCTGAAGCACTTAGATAATGTAAATCTGCTTATTTTTAGCTGTTGTCTGCTGCACTTTCTTCAGGCTCTTCCTTGTAATTTTAGAGGACTGATTATTGGAAGATTATGTCTCCGTTTTGATCTTGCTTCTTGTCTTATTGGAGTTACTGCATTGGCTCCTTTGTTTTATGCTCTAAACTGTGAGAAACAAGTATGTTTTAGTATCACATTATTTGTAATGAGGGCTTCATCTTGTCTTTTTTTGTTTGTAGTTACTCTTTTGAATAGAAGTGATCCTTAAAGATTGTTGATTGTAGTCATAATGTAACTTCTGTACCAACTTCTTTTCCAGTTGTTGGTCTGTCTAAAATAACTATTCAGAGCCGAAATCTTTTCTCATGCTTGTAGCGTTTTACAATATTGTTGTTGGATTAGTTGTTTGAGTTATTCAGAGCCCATGCCTTGTCTCATGCTTGTAGGCTTTTTGCAAATATTAATGTTTTGATTAATGGTTTGAAGTAGCATGACCTTTTATCAGAAAAACTTACTGTCAACGTTGACTTCACATTCTTTGGAATTTCACTTCTTTTTACTCGGGAAACAATATGTTACATTTGATTTCTGGTATCTATGAACAAGAGCTACACATTACAATGTGGGTATTAATTGCTTATCTGCATTGAATTCTTCAGGTTTGGGATATTCAACCCAACGATTGTCTATGATCATTTGGGAGAAATATTTTCAGCACTCATTTTTGGAAGCTTCATCTTCTGTATTTTCTTATACATAAAGGTGAGGATTTACATTAAGGCTAATTCTTGCTTAGATATCTTCGTACATAGGTCTACTTTGCTGAGCCTAGCGATTCATGTATAATAGGGTCATGTGGCACCATCTTCAACTGATTCTGGTTCATGTGGAAATGTAATAGTCGATTTCTACTGGGTGAGCCTCTTTGCACCATTTATTGTATTTTATGGCCATCTAAATGTGTGTTGCTTTCAACTACTTATTTAGAGAATTTGTTCATTGCTTTGTTATATGCCTCTATGCATTCATCTTGCTACTAATGAATTATGAGCTCAAAAATTTGGTTCTGTTTTTCCGGCTTTATAATCTAATAATCCCGATATAGCTGATGTTACTAATGTATTCACATTTCACCCACTTCCTTTGTCCTATGTGTTCAAACATGAATCCCTAGCTGGTGATCTTCAAAGCAAAGTAAAAAATTGTAATAATATATTTTCGTTATGTTAGGACTTATGTTTGGGGGTGTGATGGCAATTTAATCATTTTATATTCTTATGTATTGTTTCCTGTGCTTGTCATTCTTTCAGGGTATGGAGCTGTATCCTCGCATTGGCAAGAACTTTGATATCAAAGTTTTCACAAACTGCAGATTTGGGATGATGTCTTGGGCAGTTCTTGCTGTGACCTATTGCATAAAGCAGGTAAATGCTCCAAGGCAATGCTTGATTTGAATTTCAAGTTAACCTACCATGGAGTACTTCCTTGCTCGGCTGTGTATGCCTGATTCTTATCGGTACATAGACTTATGTGATCTGCTTATTGCTGTTTGGATGCATACTTTCTCCATCAGTATGAAGCACAAGGGAGAGTGGCTGATTCTATACTTGTAAATACTATATTGATGCTGGTGTATGTCTCAAAATTCTTTTGGTGGGAAGCTGGATACTGGAACACGATGGATATTGCACATGATCGAGGTTGATAAAGGCTTTGTTCTTTCTCATGTTCCATGTCTAGATCTCATCTTTGTTATGTTTTTCCCTTTTCTAATTTTGCCAATGCTCAATATCACTATGGTTGAATCTACATTTTGTTTTGGCAGCTGGCTTTTATATTTGTTGGGGATGCTTGGTATGGGTTCCATCTGTGTATACTTCTCCTGGCATGTACCTAGTCAATCATCCTGTGAATCTGGGAACTCAGGTATGTGTCATCCAGAAATTGGTGATATGAACACCTCTCTTCTACTTCACTTCCCATAATGTAATGGTGATGCTGACAGAAATTATGTGATGGTTATAAACTCTTGTAACCAGTTGCAGATAGATGTCTCAATGTTGTGGCCGTTGGACTCTAAAAAAAATTGAGTGTGCTTAAGTGGGAGAAATTGACTGATACACTAAAAAAACTGCATAGTAAAGTAAAGTAGTAAACTGTTACATTTGTCTATTTTAGTAGTTTAGAGGTCCATTTATTATCTGAAAAGTTGGTCAAATATGATGGTAGACAAAAGTTTGGCTGTAAAATACAAAACTATGACTAGAAAACTTTGGGTTTTATGCCTTCTGTTTTTGGTTGCTATCTTACCGTTCTGTTCCCTAACAAGTTATCCTATTGTTCCAGCTCGCAATATATATTCTTGTAGCAGGCATTCTATGCATATACATCAACTATGATTGTGACAGGCAAAGGCAAGAATTTCGCAGAACAAATGGGAAGTGCGTGGTTTGGGGGAAAGCTCCATCAAAGGTACTTGGGGTCATTGTCATGAGTTCTTGTTACCTGTCTTGTCTGATTTCTTATGTACTTTACCTGGCAGTTTTGTAAAGTTCCTTGCTGCAGTTTTTGCTTGTTTGCTAAGAATCATTTTGGTCTTTTCTTGTACAGATTGTTGCCTCATACACTACAACATCGGGTGAGACGAAGACCAGCCTTCTCCTAACCTCGGGATGGTGAGTTATTTTTATATTGCATTTTGCTAATAGAACCTAGGAACATTACTAAAAGAGTTGTTTAGGATAGATTGAGGTAAGTTCAGCAGGTCCTAGTTCATCGAACAAATTTAGTGAACTCGCAGATCATGCATATCAAAATGGTCAGAACTTTCATGGAAGTTGAGAATTTCATTTAGGGGTCGTTTGGTAACGTTTTTGTTTTTGCGTCTTCAAAAAACCAAAAACAAAGAAAAAAAATTGTCTCTGTTTTGTGGTAAACACTGAAACAGAAAACATGTTTGGTAGTCATTTTTGTCTATCAAATTATGAGAATAAAAACAGAAAACATATTTGGTAACTACCTCAAGTTTTATCCTAAATATGTTTTATAATATCTCATTTTTTGTTTTCAAACAAATCAACACTTTATTTCATGAAAAGTGATTTACAACTATGTATTACAAAGGAGTTACAAGAAGCAAAAGAATTCAAAACTTCTAATTATAAAGGAGTTGGCTTTAATCCTTCAAAAATGATTAAAACCAAAAACTAATCAAAACAGTCCAGCTGCCAGCTATCCAAATCCATGGCCCAAGGAACCATAACCTGCCTGCTTGTAGGGAAATTTTGGTTACAGTCATTCAAAATAAAAGCCATAAGCTCTTGTAGGGGTAAGCCAACTTAGTCTAATGAAAGCAAACTGTGCATTGCAGCGGCTGCCACCCGGTGAGCAGCCTTGTTACGGGCTCTTGGCTTGTGTAGAAAACAAATATTGTGTAAGTTAGCAAAATATCTAATGTCTTCTATCAAATTCAATCAGCTAAGTTGCAGTATCATCCATCTCTCCAGACCATAAGTAATCTATGTAAGTAACTCGAACATGAAAATCTCATGGTGTTCGTTGCTCCATTACCTCTTCATAAAATTTTCTCCTCATAATGAGAATTAAAATTTAAAAATAGTTGTAATCAAAAATCTACTTTTTGTTAACATAACAATATCCAATCCATCTTGTGCACATACAAAATGGTTGAGTATCAAACCATTCTTATCCTACAACGATTTGATTGGTCAAGCAAAGACAATTATATTAGAACTATTGGGGTGGACAAAGTAAAGGCAATAGATGCAAAAGAAGGACAAACACAAAAAATACGAAAAAAAGAACACTAAAAAAAATATTTCATCCGCACATATCTCCTCATGGCATTGTACATAGCTTGAACCTGCAAATCACAATAAAATTACAAGTCATTAATACTATTCATCCAGAATGACTAACAGTAATTCTCCATCTACATTCATCCACATATAGACACAAAATATAAACCATGCATGCAAATTAGAAGTGAAGATGAAGTTTCATTCATCTTATTCAATGCCTTCTGCAGTCTATATTTGTTTATGTTATGATATAATCACTACTATTTTTTCCTAGTATGGGCGAGTCTGCATCATAGAATCAGACCAACCAAATGGATAAATGGCAGAGAGAGAGAGAGAACCTGCTCACTAGATACAACATGAACAGGTCTGATGTTTACTGATACATATTTGCCCTTGGATGATATTTTTTGCTTCACCTGGCCCTGTTGCAAAACACGACACATTATTGGAGTATGACCGAGTCTCGACTCGAACTAGATTCAATTATTAAAATTTTATGAGTTATATGATATTGTTAGAAATTATACGAATTTCATTTGGGGTCAAGTTATAAGTTAGGATTTAATTGTAAAATATTTAATTATTTTAAATTTTATAGTGACCGAAATATATCGAGTAAGGAAAAAAAAATATATATATATATATATATGAAATAAAAGATAAGTGTAACTATGAAAATATGGGCAAGTCTTCAACGTGAATGAATTAAAAGCTATGGAATAAAATAAGATAGTAAAACAAAATAGAAGAGATAAAAAACAAGAAAAAAATGGGTTACTATAAAAGAAAGCATGAGGTGTAAAGTAGGACACTTGTCAATTTATACAAATGCATGGCATGTGATGTGTGTTTATTTCTTATCAAGGCAGGAGAACCTACATAAAACAAATAAAGAGAGGCAATAAAAAGGTAGAAGAGCTACTGCCTCAAGGATAAGAATTGTGAAGGGGATAGAAAAAAAAATAAATAAATAGAGTTACAACTTCTCTTGTGAAAACCAACAGCAAGATGACATCCGATTGGAAAGAAATTCTAGTATGTTGTTCAAGATATTTCGAGTTATCAATATATCAATCGGTTAAGAAGTGGGTACGTGGTTTATACATGATATGCATTCCTTTAATCTCTTTGCAAAGAGTACTTTATTGATATCGTCTTATTCGTATTCAAATTGTGACATCGTTTGGGTTTGAGTTTCGAAATAATATTTCGTTCAATTGTTGATATTTTGTTTGACTTGTCATTAATCGCTATGATGTTTGCTTTGGTGAAATACTTGAGATTTTTTGACTCGTGCATGAGGTATACTCGGTGACATGGTTATGATTGTGATTCGTGTTCGTGGCCCTTAGGGGTGGACATGATTGAATTAAAATGCACCGAATGATGCCTAGCTTGTTGTTGGAATTGACCGAGTGTTCAATCATGGTTGATTTGATTTGTTCAAACGTTCGAGATCGTTGACTTGTTCAATATCTTTGTACTCTGTAAATTATCGTATTAATTCTTCTGTCATCGAATGATTATCGGTTAGTTGATAAATTATCGTCTCGCCCTTTGACTTCGTATATTATGTTTTAAATTACTTATTGAGCTTTTCCCAGCTCACCCCCATTTACCCTCTCAGTTACTGGTTGAATTTGGATTAAAAATCAGTGGAGAATCGGGTTGATCAATGAATGAAAGATTTTGACTAGTTGTAATTTGAACAGTTATCGAGAGGCTCTTTATTTATTTTCGAGGTGTTTTAGTAATTTTAATATTTAATGAACATTTAGTTTATTTGTTATTGAGGTCATTAGTACTTTGAATATTGCTAAATGGATTGGGGTGTTTCAAATTTTGGTATCAGAGCTTTAGGCATGAGATTCTGTAGACTTTCCTAGGTTTAATTATTTAGGATGACGACTTGTGGGTAATAGTGTAGTTGATTTTGGGTGCATAGATAATTTACAGAATGTGATCGGTCAAAGCTAGCATATGATTTATGACTTGCAAATTTCAAAGACGAAATTTTCTTAAGGTGGGTGGATTGTGATGACCGAGTCTCGACTCGAACTAGATTCAATAATTAAAATTTTATGAGTTTTATGATATTGTTAGAAATTATACGAATTTCATTTAGGGTCAAGTTATAACTTAGGATTTAATTGTGAAATATTTGATTATTATAAATTTTATAGTGACCGAAATATATCGAGTAAGGAAAAAAAATATATATATATGAAATAAAGGATAAGTGTAACTATGAAAATATGGGCAAGTCTTCAACGTGAATGAATTAAAAGCTATGGAATAAAATAAGATAGCAAAACAAAATAGCAGAGATAAGAAGCAAGAAAAAAATGGGTAACTATAAAAGAAAGCATGAGGTGTAAAGTAGGACACTTGTTCAATTTATACAAATGCATGGCATGTGATGTGTGTCTATTTCTTGTCAAGGCAGGAGAACCTGCATAAAATAAATAAAGAGAGGCAATAAAAGGGTAGAAGAGCTACTGCCTCAAGGATAAGAATTGTGAAGGGGATAGAAAAAAATAAATAAATAGAGTTACAACTGCTCTTGTGAAAACCAACAGCAAGATGACATCCGATTGGAAAGAAATTCTAGTATGTTGTTCGAGATATTTCGAGTTATCAATATATCAATCGGTTAAGAAGTGGGTACGTGGTTTATACATGATATGCATTCCTTTAATCTCTTTGCAAAGAGTATTTTATTGATATCGTCTTATTCGTATTCAAATTGTGACATCGTTTGGGTTTGAGTTTCGAAATAATATTTCGTTCAATTGTTGATATTTTGTTTGACTTGTCATTAATCGCTATCAAGGATCAAAATTTCGTTTCGAAGTACCGTTTCGGTCAACTTAAAAATAGAAACGTTTCGGAAACATTTCGGAAACGCAATGGAAACGCAGAAAAAATATGGAAACGCATAGAAACACAAATGCAATCCATTAATTTATAAAGATATGCTAAATAATTTATTAATTCAACATATTTATTAGGTTAACATCAATTTATACAAGAATAAATTTAAATTTGAGGGAAAAAAATGCTTGACTTGAGGCGAAAGTCACTTAAATTAGTTTCAAACACTTAATTTTTATGAAATAAACACATTTTTACATAATATTAAGGTCTTATAATACACATGAAATGCTAATGAGTACATACTTACATGGTTACATCCATTCTCCTGTGGAGTGTCGAGCAGGCTCATACATCGGTGTAGGCTCTGGGTAGCTACTTAGAGAAACTCCATACGTGACATAAATATGATGACAATAGTTACTCCAAATCATATTATTACGGTAATATAATCCAATTAATAATATTATTTTATTATAATACTAATAATGAAGGGTATCAAATTAAATTAATGATACTTATGTATACTTAAAAATTAAATGTAATTGCAGTGGGTATTAAATGTAATTACAGTAGGTATTAAATATAATTATATTAGGGTATTAAATGTAATTGTTAATACTTATAACAAAAAAAAAAAGCAAAAAACTTGCACAACAGTGAGGTATTAAATATAATTATAGTATGTATTAAATATAATTATAATGAGTATTAAATATAATTATAGTAGGGTATTAAGTGTAATTATTTATTCTTATAACAAAAAAATTATAAAAGATAGAAGAGCAGTGGGAATTAAATGTAATTATAGTGGGATATTAAATATAATTATAGTGAGTATTAAATGTAATTACAGTGGGTATTAAATGTAATTATAATGGGGTATTAAATGTAATTATTCATAATGAACCGAATATATCACTGTTTTGTCGAAACGGTTCGAAACAATGCCGTTTCGACCGAAAACGGTCCGAAACAGTACCGTTTCGACCGAAACTGTCCGAAACAGTACCGTTTCGACCGAAACACTGGAATTTTGTGATTCAACTACTGTTTCGTTTCGGAGTGTTGAAATTCCGAAACGTTTCGGACGTTTCGGACGTGTCGACACGACATTTTGATCCTTGATCGCTATGATGTTTGTTTTGGTGAAATACTTGAG